TGGAACAGCCACTTCCTGGTAAGAATAACCTGGTTTCTGAGGAATGGGAGGACATGTCAGACTGAGCGGGGCAGGGTGGGTGGGGGACACTGAAATGGAATTCTGGAAGATTAATCCCAGAGGAGAATCACTAGCTTCCTGAGTCCTAAAAGGAGCCAACACTACAGCAGAAGGAATGTGAGTAAGAGACAGTGGAAACTTCCTAATGTCAGGGCTCCCTGAACACCAGCAATGGTGGCTGGGCAGGTAAGGAAGATCCCCCTTCCTTTAAAAGAAGACTACACCCTCTGCCCAGAGGCAGACCTGAGAAATGGAGCCATCTGCTCGCCAGGAGGCTGGGGAGGCATGCTAGGCTTGCGGTGTCGGAATTCCTAGAATCTGGAAGAAAACTGCCTCTGCTCACCCAGCCACCGCCCTGACCTGGGAGGGGCGCATTGCGCTGAGCCAGTGCAGGGCACTCAGCAAACTCAGCCCACTCTGGGCCTGTAGAAATGCAAAGAGGTGGCTGGGGCATTTCCAGAGCCCTGGGGCCCCAGGATAGAGAGGGAGTGGATATGGGAAGGGGTGGTCAGCGACAGTCTCTCTTCCTAGGGGCGAGGTCCAGCTGAGACAGGTTAGCCCGTCTTCTTCCCACGCCTGGCACCCTATGCCCTGCCTGGGCTGATCTCAAGCTCCCTCTCCTATGTCCTTGTCCCCTCTCCCTGTCATTAAGTCCACCCCCTAGCCAAAGAGCTTCTCAGCGCGCCACAAACACGAGGCCTCCTTCTTTAGAGCCCTCTCCTCTCTGCCCGACCCACTCAGAATGCCAGCCACACATCCATCAAGACATCCTTCCTCTGTTGAATAACATTGTATGTCAACTATAATTATATATACATATAGTCATGGGACGTGGAGTAGAGAGNCCTTTACTTAAGTCTTTACTTAAGGCCTCTCGAACCTCACTCTTTGCTAGGTGACAGGCGATTCTTTAAAGTTAGAATTCAAATGCTCGGAAGGGTCCTGCTATACTAGAGTTGGCGCACTTTTTCTGTAAATGGGCAGATGTAAATATTTCAGGCTTTACAAGCCATGTAGTCTCTATTGCAGCCACTCGGCTCCGCCATTGTTGCACAAAAGCAACCTGGATTTGACGGTGGGTGACAGTCACCGGTGCCCTGTCCTACATCCACACAGACTTTCCTCGGGGACCTGAGGCAGGCCTCATCTTTATCCCCCACAATCCCAACTGTTTTTTCTGTAACATGTGCAAAAACCTCCCACATCACGCAGAGGGAAAGCTAAGGTTTCTTATTACGTTGGACGGGCTGTTACTTTGCCCAGAAAACCAAGACTTTGCTGCTTTTAATAAGAATCCTTCAAAGAAGCATCTACGACCACTGCTTCTGCTCCCCACGCGTCACCCCAGGACTGGCTCTTCCTGCCTCACCTTGATCTCAGCCCGTCTGCGACCACCACCCACTACAAAGAGGAAGGGGTCTGCTTCACTTCCTTGCCCGGGGAAGACGCAGTGAGCAGCAGCCAGCTGGGACCTCCGATGAACCCCAGTGCCCCCCAGCACTCACCTTGCTCTCTAGAGATCTCGGGCTTGTACCAATACTTGGAAGTGTCCTGGACAAATTTTACTTTGGCCCGGGTCTCGGGGCTGTTGTCTAAAGGAGAAGGAGAAAAAAAGAAAGCATTATGGGTTGAAATGTATCCCCACCAAAAGATATGTTGGAGTCCTAACCCCCGGTACCTGTTTATGTGACCTTCTTTGGAAGTAGGGTCTTTGCAGATGTCATCGAGTTAAGCTGAGGTCATGCTGGATTAGAGGGGACCCCAAGCCAACATGACTGGTGTCCTTATAAGAGGAGGGAAAGGGACAGAGACCCAAGGGGAGAGCGCCATGTGAACACGGTGGAAGAGACTGGAGAGATGCATCTCCAAGCCAAGGGACACCAAGGATTGCCAGCAACCATGAGAAGCTCAGAGAAAGGCCTGGAACAGATTCTCCCTCAAAGCCTCCAGGAGGAACCAACTCTGCCAACACCTTGATCTTAGACTTCTGGCTTCCACTACTGTGAGAGAATTGGACCTGTTGCCTTAAGCCACCAAGTTTGTGGTGCTTCGTTATGCTGTCCTAGGAAACTAACAGAGAGAGCTGGTCTCCTCAAACATTATCAGAGTATCGCTACCAGGGACCTCGAGCCGCTTTCTCATCCTTTCCCTGTCTCCTGCCAACCATCGTGGGTCCCGGAGCTACTCTCCTGTGGAAGAGTCTGGTGTGGCATTCTCACTGAGGCAATGAAAGCCCTACCCGACCCATCTCCCCCTTTCGCTAGAAGATCCAGACTAAACCCATATTGCAGCTTCCCTCCCACAGGCTAGGACACCCCACCTCTACCACCTTTCCCTACAGGCTCCATTCCCCAACTTTATCATAACAACCTGGAGGACAAGGGCAGAAAGACGCATTTGCATCCACTTCTCCCCAACCCCTGCCCACTCCCCACGTGGAAAGCACATGTTCTGCATCCTAGAGGGCAAAAAAAAAAAAATCATCTCGCCCAGGGATAAACAGGGGAAAGGTTGGCCTAGAATTTAGAAGCCATGCACTGTGCGTCACATACCCCACTTCTCTGGAAGATGCCCCCAATCCCAGACCCTTTGCAGACCAGAGTTGACTTCATAGAACATTAGGTATTAATACTTAGAAGGAGCTCTGAGAGCACCTAGTCTATCCACTTCACTTTACAAACGAGGAAAGTGAGGCTCAGAGAAGGGGAGTGACCTGCACAAGTCACACAGATGGTTAATAGTAAGACCTTCCCAGGTAAAAAGACGCAGGAGCCGGGTCAGTGCCAGCTACGCCACATCCTCCTGGCTAGGTATTAGGGCGCGTGGGCCTCACTCTTCCTTCATCTTTTGGCACCAAATACAACAAAAGAGGGGATGGGCAAAAAGGAAGAAAGGAAAATTCCAATTCCACATGTTTCCTCTCCTTTCTTGAGAGAGAGGCAGGAGCAGAGGGGGCCTGTGCTAATGATGCTGTAAAGCTCAGGGGACAGGCCAGACGGGTTGGGTTGTGCATCCAGTGCTTAGTCAATTTCAACGTGTCACTTAAACTCTGCTAGGCTTCTGGGATCTGTCTCTGGAGGACAGTGAGGGGGTCGGTCAGCTCCCTTTCCTGGCAGCTGTATGCTGAGGAGGGCCACTGGGCTAAGCAGCTGGACTGCGCAACTGTTGCAAGCTGCCTCTTTCTGCTCTGAAGCCCCAGGCCCCTGCTGATGCTGGGCCTGTCTAATGAGCTGTCAGGGGCGGCTGCAGCCCCAAGTGCCTTCCTGTGTTGATTCCAGTGGCTATTTTAAGCAGGGAAGATGGTGGGAAACAGGAAATGTCCCAACTACTAGAAGTTTTGCATCCTCCAAGGAGAGGGGCTGGGAACCAGATGTCTCTGGTGGGCAGCAGGAAGCAAGGGGGTGCAGGGTCGCTGTAGGTGTCCTGGCTTGGCAGGCTCAGGGCAAGACCTGGGAGTGACACACTGAGACTCTGGGCAGCTGGAGCTCAACCCAGGCTACCCGAAACATTCTCAATCTTCCTCGAATGCCTTGGGGCCCAAAGGCCGCTCTGCACACTGGCAGGTTCCAGGTCAGCTGAGAAGCTGCAAGTCAGCGGAGGCCTTGACCTTTGTGTTGGGATAATGAGCCCTCTAAGTAGAAGAAAAGAGGCCAAGTTCTGGTGACGAGTGAAGAATTCAGTATGCAACCTGCACAGGCTTCAAATGAAGCCGGGTTGGTAGAAACTAGACTCCAGTGAAATGCCCAACCCTTGGCCTTGTCCCATATCACATCTGGCTGCCAGATCTATTATTAGTGATGTGTGCACAGTGGGGATCAAAAGGTGGGACAAAAGAACTGGCCAAAGGTATAGAGGTCCAGGTGTGGAAGGCATATTGTCGAGGTATGCTACATCACCATAGGAAACATGATAGGAAACATGATAAAACTCCAATGATGCTCTCAAGAGCACTAGTTTTGGGTAGTATGGGCCTGGATTGGCAGCCTGGCTCTGCCATTTATGGACTGTCTGACCCTGGACAAATGATGGAGCCCTTCAAGCCTCAGTTACGGCGGGCGTGGCTGTGAGGATGAATGGCATAGTATTTATCTCAGAGCCTGGCACACAGCCCGTGCTCAACAAGGGGTACTGGCTATGATGGTGATGATAATCATAACAGTGACGCTACTGGTATCATTTTCATCATCATCATTATCATCATTGGCATTCACATCCTCATCCCTGTCCCCAAAGCCACCACAACAACCAGAGCACATTTACTCGAGGACGCCTCCAATTCCCATTATACAGATAAGGCAACTGAAGAGGCCCACAAGCCAGTAATCCACCCATGGTTATCTGCCAGAGGATGAGAGTGGGACAGATCGCCTAACTGGTGGACTTAATCTGTCAGGAGAAGACATGGAGGTGGAAGGAGAGGCCTACCTGGCATGGAGTACTTCGAGAAGTCGGGCAGAGTGTGCGAGAAGGAGACGGTGCTGCCCCCACTGGGACTGGACATGCCGCTGGCAACAGGCGAGGAGGACACCTTCCCGTTGATGGTGGCATAGTTGGGGAGGCTACCCGCCCGGTCTCCCATGGACATCCTCCGCTTCTCGGGCAAGGCTGGCGTTGGGCTCCCTTGCCGGAAGGCTGCTGAGTCCGGTGACGGGGAGGTGGTGGGGCTGCTCAGGCTGGGGTAGTAGGCAGGCGACACAGGGAAGGAGGGCGTGGAAGGAGCCTGGTAGCCCGAGGCACTGCTCTGCCGGGACAGCGTGGGTCTCCGGTCCTCAGGGGTGGAGTAGCCGCCATAGGCCACATGCCGGTCCAAGCTGGGGCTGCCAGGAACCACAGATCCAGACCCTCCTAGGTGACGACCGAGGCTGGGGCTTCCCGGGCTGGCTATTGTGTTGCCGTGGAGACTGGAAGCCAAGGCGCCCTGGGGGGCTCCGGGGTGCCGGCCCAGGCTGGGGCTCCCTGGAGTGGTGATTACATTGCCATGGAGGCCTGGGGCCTGGTGGGCTCCAGGGTGCTGGCCCCGGCTGGGGCTTCCTGGAGTGGTGGCCACGCTGCTATGGAGACCTGAGGCCTGGTGGGCCCCAGGGTGCCGGCCCCGGCTGGGGCTTCCTGGAGTGGTGGCTGCACTGCTCTGGGGGCTGGAGACTGTGTTACCATGCAAACCAGTTCCTGGTGGGCCCATCACCTGGCGGTGGCTCAGACTGGGGCTGCCAGGGGCAGCCATGCTGGGGTTGACAGCTCGGCCACCAAAGCCAGGACTAGGAGGAGTGTTGGTGCCCACTGTCCTGTGGCGTGCCTGAGGGCTCCCAGGTACCATGTGGACACCGGCCACAGTGAACTGAGACCGGGCCTGGCCTTCTGGGGAGTTGAACTGCTGAAGTGAGTAGTCAGGGCTGCTGTAGCTGCTGCCCGTGGTTGGGAGAGGAGAACTCTGGTAGCTTCTCTGAGCCGAAGGGCTGGGTTGGCCCAGGCTGCCGGAGCGGAAGCCAGAATCTAGCAAAGGCTGGGTGGGTGTCCGGGGGCCCTGGTCACTGCTCTCTCCTGATGGAAAACTCCCCATTGAAGTGCTAGAGAAAGAAAGGGCAGATTGAGATGTCAGCAAATGGCACTGAATGAAGGACAGGCTTTCAGAGAGCCTCCCTCCCACCACTAATAATGACAATACGAGCTTCATTCACCCGCACAGGAATGTCAGGGTTTTTACATCACCCTATGGAATTGTCAGAAGAAGAAACTGAGGCTCAGAGAGGTTAAGCAACAGTCTCATGACCACACAGCTCATAAAAGACCAGGGTTTCAACTCAGCTCTCTCTGAATTCCAAAGCCTGTGTTTTCCCCATCACACCGGGCCACTCCTGAACCACAGGTCAGAGTGAGGAGCTCTCCTCTATTGAAACTGAAGGTGGCTGTCCTCTTGTCACCTCCAGTATCACAGAAACTGGACACTGCAGAGAGGGTCAAACCACCTGGAGCCTGTTCCTACTGGAAGTATTCCCACCCTGACTCAGTTTCCCCAGGTGTGCCATGATTATCTTTAAATGTTGAGGGTGTCAAAATTGGGCTTTCATTCCTGGGTAGCTCCAAAAAGCAAAGAAAAGGAAGTGTCATAGAAGGAGGTTTTAGCGCTGTGTAAGGTCTACTTTCCAGCCGTGGGATCTGGCCACTAATGGAGCAAGCTGCCTTGCATAGTAATGAGACTCCCATCACTAGGAGCATTTAAGTAGAGGCTGACTGACCTCACAATCTGAATGTTGTGGAAGGACTATCCACTGGGAGGTTAGATTAGATGAGCTCAGAAGTCGCTCCCATTCCTAAGACTAATAAAACTCAGTTCAGAGGGCACTATACTTGGGGGCATAGCCATAATCAAAGGTTCTCCTCTGAAGTTAAGCACAAGTCCATAGGGAAGTACAATGCAATGGCCTGTGAGTTGGCAAACCTGGATTCAGCTGTTAAAGATTTCCCATGAGAAAAATGAGGGGGCTGGGTTAGATGACTGATTCTTTCCAGACACAAACTTCTATCCCTCGATGACATGGCAGGAGAGACAAAGATTGGCAGGGACCTCACAGCTGCAGGGAGGTGGCAAGCTTTGCACCAGGAGCCCCTGGGTGAGGTGGGGTGGNCACACACACAGACTTCAGTGTTCTAGAGCTGGCTGGCTGGAAGGTATCTACAAGAGACTTACTTTCTCTCCTGTGGATCCAGGTCACAGAAGGTGACAGTGTTGAGGGGGTAGTGTCGTCTGAAGAAGAGCCTGTGGCAAAGACATTAGATACACAGCATGAGTAATAAAGTGACAGGTCAGGCCACCTTCCCACCATCTGTGGCTGTCACAGGTCAACACAGCCTCTGCCTCACGAGTAAGACAGCCTAGGAAGCTCACACTGGGGACATGAGCAATGCACAGGGGCAGACAGATGGGTCATAAAAATGTCTCTCAAGTGCTGGAGGTTAGGAAAAGAAGCAAGAAACTGACATTGAGGAATGAGAAATGGGGGGACTCTGGAGGAGCAAGGAAACAGGCTGGGGGAACAAGTTAGAGAGAGCATGAGAGGAGGAGCTCAGCTCTGGACAGCAGGTACTTTTATCAGTTGCATTTGCAGCTGTATACCTAATGCAGGCATATTTGCAGAAGAATGGAAAAACAGGTGGATGAGTAGATGGATGGAGACATAAACGGGAAAAGGGATAAATGCGTCGGGGAGGATAGATGAGGGATGAATGAATGGATGTAGGGAAGGATGGATTAACTGGTGAGTGGGTGAGCAAGTGGATGGATGGATGGAAGGATGGTTGGGTGGATGGATGGATGGATGGATGGATGGATGGATGGATGGATGGATGGGTGGATGGATGGATGGATGGATGGTGAATGGGAGATAGACGGATGAGTAGATAGATGGGTGGAAGGGATGAATCGATTGGTAAGTGGATGGGTAAGTGAAAGGATAGGTGAGTCACAGGAGGGGAGCCCCATACAGAAGCAGGTAGAGAGGCTTACTTTCTCTGGTTGTCAGTCAGTGTAATTCCCTGGGCAGAAACTTTGAAGTGAACGATGGTGGCAGCTGGTGTGGGGTCAGCAGCCAGTGTCTCAGAAGTGGCTTTGGAGATGGCCTGTGGCCCAGTGAGTGACTCCATGTCCACAGAGTTGACGAAGAGCACGTTGCAGGCTGGAAGAAACCCACCCAAGGAGGAGTCATGGGGGCTGGAGTGGGTGGGGACGATCCCCAGCTCCTCTCTTCAGGTAGCAGATGAATTGCAGGCCAGCCTCAGGCCAAGGCATCTGCACACAGGGATGTGATGTGCCCACCCAGAGACACTGGGGTCTGGGACAGATGTCTACCCCACTGCAGGAGGGGACAGGGCGGAGAGGAGGAAAGGCCGAGGTGGGGGTCTGGTATGGAGGGGCCACTCACCTGCCCCTTGCTTCAGCAGGTCAGTGGTGGAGTTGGCAGAGCCCGAGCTATCTTTTGATTGATCTGTAGGGTCTGAGACAAAAATTTAATTCAGCCGGTAATTAAAACTCTAGAGCTGGAAAGAAGCACAAGTCTGGCTGGGCTGGAGGCGCGCTCTGAAAATACTTTGTGCAATGGATATGCTTCTCATATCAGGCCCTGGCAGTCAGCACGTGCGGGTCCTGTTGGAATGCTCAATAATTGCTCTAAGTATTCAGCACACTGGTTGGGAGCTCTGGAGTCCAACAGAGCTGGGTTCAGACCCTCAGCCCAGCAAGTGCCAAGTATCTACAAAACAGAGATGCTGATGATAGAAGCCATTTCATTGGGTTTTTGAGACGGTCCATGTACAGTGCAAGCCCAGTGCATGGCGTCAAGGAAGTCTTCAAGTGGCNGCCTCTCTGTGCCTCAGTTTTCTCTTCTGAAAAGTGGGAATAATAATAGTACTTACCTCATAGGATTACTGAGAGAATTCAATAAAATAACCCTATGAAGCCTTTAGCAAAGTGCATGATGCGTAAAAAGCACTCACTACATAGTGATTGTTGCTGTTAGATTTTAAACTTGGTGGGAGGCACTACACCTGGCTCACCTTCGAATCCCCCCCCCCACTTTCCAGCATAGTTCTGAATGTGGGAATTGAATTGGGCCTAGGGGTTATAGCTCATTCATCCTCGTGCTCCCCACAGGATGTGGCATTCAGGGGATACTCTCTCAAGGGGCCCTGGTGAGCTGGTTTTCCAGGGACAGCAATCTGGATGGCATTTCTGCCCATCCACACCCTGGGCAGATCCAAGAGGCCTCACTCATGCTGTCCCAGGCCTGGGTTCTCACCATCTACCCCTGTGTTCCTCCTCCCCACTTACCTGTCAGCACTGAGAATGGGGCTGCTGGTAGAGAGGGGGCTGGGGGAGACAAAGGAGCCACCCAGGGTCCCATTCCTCAGGGGTGTCTCAGAGCCATAGGCCTGGGTAGCTGGGGTGCTCAGGCTCTTGGGCTCAGGGTCCTGAGCTCGGGGTCCAGCCACTGCTGTCCGCACCACTGACTCGACATAGCTCCGGGGCTCTGGAAGGGACAAGGAGACAGTGAGTGAGCACAGGCTGATGGGGTACAGCTTGGACCCCATCCAACCTGCCAGGGAGTCCAGCCTGCGGGGGTAGCCCCAAGAAGACAGCCAAGCACACAAAAGATACTTCTCCTGGGGCTCCCGCCTGCCCATGCCCACCCCTTTTCCCAGTGTCTTGGGGAAGCTGTGGGAGCCCCCACAGAACCTTTACCCATGGCCTAACTCAGAAAAGTTTCCCAGAAATGGACCCCAGCTCTGCCTGTGAACAAGACTATCATGGAATCTTCCCTCCCAGAACTAGGACGCCTAGCCACAGCTGGCATCCTCTTTACCTGATTTTTTCTTTGACGACTTTGCCACCCAGCCCCTCGGGCCCTTCTAGGTGCCTCAGGCACCCCTGGAATCTGGGCTGTACAGGAACCCAGCCGGCCTGCCCCTTTCTCAGGACAGTGCCAGGGTTCACGTCCGCTGCACCGCATACCCAGGACCCAGAAGCAGACCTGTGCTGGTGAGTCACGCCCAGCCCCTTCGTGCCAAGACACACCCACCCCACCCCACTCCCCCTTGCTTGGCACACTTAGCATTCCTCCCGAGACTGACACCATCATCCCCACTTGGTGTTCAGAATACCCTAAGAGGAAGGGGATGGAGGACAGGTGACAGAAAGGCCATCTCACAGATGAGGACACTGAGGCCTCGAGAGTGGAATGACTGGAGGCCGGGCCAGGAGCCAGACCCCCAGACTCCCAGCCAGCACTCGTCCAACTCCCGCTCTGAGGCCAGCCCAACACACTAACTCGATATGGAACAGGGAGAAGCAGCAGGGCGCCCTGGGCTTCTCCAGGGACATGATGAGAGATGGATGACGTTCCTGCCACCTCCAAACCTGGCACTGGTCCTATCTCCCTCAGGAGGGACAGAACTGAGTACAGACGCACACTCTGCCTGCAATTAGGGCATCTGCTGAAACCGGCCTGAGAAACGGAAGAACTGAAGAGTAAGTGCAGCCCCGGGCAGGCCAGGACCCCAGAGCCTTTGTTGGCCAGAACTGTGCGGGTCGCCGAGTCAGAGAAAGGCCCCCTCCCCTTAGCCCAAAGAAAACCTGACTTTGGAAGGCTCCTAATCAGCAGGGTGTCATAGGGCACAGCCTCTTGGGCGTGGCTTCTGAAGTGGCCTCACAGCCTGACATCCTGCAGCCAGCCCCAGAGAACTATGGACACAGGGAAAGGATGGTCCTCCAGAACAGGGTCCTTTACAGAGGTGTGGGGTGAAGAAGGGGACGGCGGGAAGGAGGGAGAGGTCTGTGCAAAATTCCAGCCAGAGGCTGCCAGTCTGTCTTTTCGTTTCCACACAGAGTTCCCTCCAACCAACAGCAGTGACAGTGGATAGGGGTGGGGCAAGGTGTCTGCAAAGGGACAGCTCGGAGTAATATATGCCAGGTATGGGGTGCAGGGCGATGTAGCACCAGCCACCTCAGCACCCAAAGCTGGACTCCACATGGGCAGAGGCCAACAAGGCTTCCTCAAGAGCTCCCTCAACCAACCCAGGCCACCCACCCACCTCACAGAAGCCCCAGGCTGTATCCATTCCAAAAGCACTGAGTCTGGGCCATGTGTGCCTGGGGACCTGTTGGAGCTAGGAGATGCTATGGGGATCCTCTGACCCGGGGCAGGCACACTTTCTTGTAAAGTACCCGATAGTAAATATATTAGGCTTGGTGGGCCAGACAGCCTCTGTCACAACTACTCAGTTCTGCTGTGGTAGCGTGAAAGCAGCCATAGACAACAGCACATAAACAAATGAGCATGTCTGTCGTTTGACTAAGTTTGCTGACCCCTGAGCTAACCCATCTCCTCAGCCCAGAGAAGTGGAGTGATTTTCCCCAGAACACACAGCCCATCAGTGGTGATAGAGACTAGCATCATGGTCTGATGCTCAGTGCTGGCTCTGGGTGGCCCAGAAATGGGTCACAGCTTCAGGGGAGCACCCAGGGTTGGCTGCTACCAAGAACCCCAGCCCATAAGCCAGAGAAGAGCCCGCTCCACAGGATAGTAAGGATAGAAACAGTAAACAATTACATGAGAACAGAATTCGGAGACTGTAACTATCTTGCCCCAGCCACACAGTAGCAAGTGACAGAGTCGGTCCTGGAACCCAGGTGGTCTGGTCCAGAGCCTGCTCTCTGGCCCACTGCATACATGCAGCTGAAAAACCAGGGTACTAATAGTTTCAGTGCATCTTTAGTCTTGGGGGGTTGGCTTCATGCCCTGGGGTAATCCAGGTTAGCAGAAGAGACCATCAGATAGTACCTCACACCCACAGAAATGGTTAACGGAGACCCAAGGCCAGAGCCCACCCTCCCCGTCCATCCCTCGGCACCCAGAGTCACTCTCTCTGAAAACTCTTCCTGGCACCCCGTCTCCCACCCAGAGATGGCAGTGGGATCCCTCCACCCCCTGGGCACCTCGGCTCCTTACTGATCTGTAGTCAGGCGTCTAGAGCAATGCCTGGAACTTAGCAGGCCCTCGATATGTGTCTGTCCCACAAACTGGCAGATACGTGACCTTTACCCTCCAGCCCACCGAGATATATCATAACTAAGGCCTAAAAGACACACACTAATTTTTTCTCATTCCCTGGAGTTCCTGTTGACCCCAAAAGTTCAAGCTAAAATCCACATGGATGACGCCTGAAGCCTGAACTCTTCCCCCACCCACCCTGCCCTCCTGATCCAGGTAGAGATGAGCGAAGCCCTTTCACTCAGTCTCCACTCCTCACAAGCCAGAGCAGGAGGGCCCTTTGGCAAATGACTTGATTTTCCGAGTCTATCTCCAGAACTGTTCAAAACCAACCTTTTAGGCCAAAAAATCAGTTTTCCCAAGTTTTCAGACTCAGATTTCCACATTGAAAATGCCTCCTTTTCCTGCCTATTCCTCTCCTCTTTCCTCTGCTCACCACTTCACAACAACATACACCTGGCGGGCTCCCCTTCTTCCAGTTACTGGAAGAGTAACCTGGGGAGAGGCTGCTGACCATATCTGGGACTCAGTTTTCTCATCTATAAAATGGGAATAAGAATACCCACCTGCCCAGACAGGGTCAAGCTATAAGGGAGGGGCAAGTTCCTTCTTATTCTTTCTTGCTAAGTCCAGCTAGTTATTCACAAGCAGCCCCACTGTTGCCGGCCTATGCCTCTCTCCACTCCTCTCCTGCTGTTTTCCTCCTGTCCTCCAATCCTGGAGCAGCTGCACCCAGAGGCAATGGGGTTGAGAAGGGCAGGAGGGGTGGGGCCAGGCAGGGTGCTTCATGTAGAACATTCCAAGAGCCCAAACCCATTCCAAGTGGCTGCTGGTGGATGAGAGCAACTGGAGGCCCAAGAGTGAGGTGGCCCCACCAGGGCACTGTCAGCTTTTCATCCACACCCTCAAGTGCATTTTCTGCCTCCCAGAAGAGGCTGTTTGCCTGGAGAGAAGGGGCCCGCCCATTCCAAATAAATGAAAACATGTGGGCAGCGGGGAGAGGTAGGAAGTAGAGAGACACCCCCCCCCCACCTCCGGCCAGGAGCTCGAAAGTGAAGAATTTCAGCCCTTTTAGATCAGGCCACATGCCCCTTTCCTCTGAGCTTCCACTGCACCCTGTTCCTAATCCACTCAGCACTCTCTCTACCTTATACTGAAGTGTCCATTGGCATCTCTGTCCTCACCAAGCTATGTCATGCGTTGTTATACCCTCCATGCCTAGCACAGGACCTGGCACATAAATCTGCATCACACAATACTGCCCTAAAATCCCAGGTGCCACAATACACCCATCACCAAGGATCTCAGAGCAGGAAGAATTCCCGGGGAGTGGCATCTCTACTCCCATGTCTTCCTTTGTGCCAAATCAGTCCCATCTAATCGTCCGGACAAACAGAACCTAACCCGAATGTCCCCTGTTCCTGTTCCTCTGGGCAAGAAGTTTCTTTCCCTGTGTCACCACTGGGAAGACAGTCTTATGCTGACCTCCCGTATTTACAGCCGCAGGCTTTCTTCCTCTCCTTCCTCATGAAGGAGAGTCCCAGTCCCCATGACCAGTGCAGCCACTGTTCATGTACAGAGATTATGACCAGTGCAGTCACTGGAAAGGGGTGGCCTCCACATGTCGATCCGACATGGGCTCTCAGCCATGCCCCTGACTGACTGTGTGGGCCCGTACAAGTCATTTAATATCCCTAAACATCATCATCTCCTCATCAGTAAAACGGGGCTCCTACCATCTTCTGCTCGGTGCTTCTGTGATTACTAAACAAGACGATGTGTCAGTGACCCCACATGGTCCCACCCCTGCCTGTTGAACCTCACTCTGTACTACATGCCCCTTTGAGCCCCTTTGGTCCAGCCTCCAGCTCCCCTGTGTTCTCAGCCTCACTGACTTTGCAGGTCCTAGAAAAAAACATGCTGTTGGCTCCCATCCCGGAGCCTTTGCACATGCCCTTGTCCTCTACCTGGAAGGCTTGTCTCTCATCCCAGTTCCACCAAGTTAATGTCACTCACCCACACATCTCACTGCTTCAGTCATCAGGTCTCATAAAACTGCCATCCTTTCTCTCCATAACACTTATCTCAATATGTAATTCTGAACGACCATTTAATTCTGGCTCCTGTTCACGCCTATGCTCCATGAGATTAGGAACCATGGTACTGCATGTCATTATACCCCCCAGAGCCTGGCACAGTGCCTGGCACACAGTAGGCACACAAAATATGTATTGAACACATGAATCGATGAATGACAGAATGAATGTCAAGTACTTAGCACGGCGCCTTGAGCAGAGCAGACGCCCCGAAAGTCGTCTTTTCCCCTAGCTGAGTATTCTGCTCCTGACCACATTCCCTCACGGACACCTTTTTCTGAATTTCCCATCAACGCTAGCAGGGAAGGCACACAGAGCTTCAGACGGTTAGCAAAGAATGCATGCTTTAGTCTGACCCGGGAGGTGGTGCATGAGTCAGGAAAAATTGAGCTGGCCGCCCACAGCCTCATGCCCTGCCCCTCATGGGCCCCACTCCCCAGGCCAGGACAGCAATTCCTACCCCCACGCTCCAATCCCAGGGCACAGTGCCCGGACACAGGAGGAGGGCTTTGAAATGGCCACTTGACTAGGAGACAGGAGACCAATAAGTCCAGTTCTGGTCCTGCTGTCTCCTAACTGTGACCTTGGGCAGATGTCCCCACCCTTACCCCACAACAAAACCCCAGCTCCACAGCTGTGAAAATGACAGGTGTGGCAGAGCTGATCCCTAAGGACCTTGCCCTCCTAACTCTGTGTCTTTAGGACAGATGGAGGCAGGTCAGGGGCCTCGGGGCCTTGAAGGCTGTCACTTGTGAGCACAATTGGCAGGTCTCAGTTCAGTTCTGAAGTGGCACCCCAAAGGGGGAACATAACAGCCAGGGCCTGTCAGCCTGTGGGATAATCTATCTCAGACCTTCCTATGGGAAAGGGTTTGAGGTCCCACCAGTCTGTTGAAGTCAGCAACCACGAGGAGAGTGTGGGTGGGCATCTGAAACACAAGTGCTGGCTCCAGGCCCCAGCTTATCCTAGACTCCTGTCCCAGCTCTCCTGCCCTGGTGGGAACTAGCATCCTGGAGCGCTGCAGTTCACCCTGTTCTGGGGCCGGTTGCTGGGGGCACCTCGTTTGCAGCCCCCAGGCAGCATTATGTGATTGCCCGAACTCTGGCTAGAAGTGGGCAAAGCTTTGTGGAAGTTCTGGCCATCTCACCTGGAGGATGGCAGATTCAGAGGAGCAGAGCCTATGCCCACTTTGGGGCTAGAAAATCAAGGTGGTTAAGTATAAAGAAAAGCGGGAAGTGGGCTTAAGAAAACCAGGAGGATGGAGTCTTTAAAGAAACCAGGCCAACAGCTAAGATGGTGAACAACACCTCGACCTGGAGCTGGGCTGCCGTCAGTCACCGGCGAAGGCGTAGGCTGCAGTGGGACTGCAGTGCGGGCTGCCATAAGCTACTGTGAGCAGCCAGCAGCCGCCGTGAGCGGCCACTCAATGGCTGGGGACCGATCTGCCTCACCCGGGAAAAACGCAATCACAATACCAACATGGGCCAGTGAAGCAGCGTCCTCCACAACTAGACTGAAGAACAAAAGGACAGCAAATTGTCTGTTCCCCTTCCCCGATTCCCCAACGCTGTTCCTTCCCCCAATTTCCCAATAAAATCTTAAAAAAGAAGAAACCAGGCCACATGGAATTAGGACCCAGGTGACAAGTCAGAACATCTAACATGTCAGAGCTAGAAGGTGCTTCGGCACCCACCTCATCCAAGCCCTTCTGGTGGACACGGCTTGAACTTCACCCAGATGCGACAAAACCACACACAAGCCGCCCATGCCAGCACCCCCTTCTCTTTACCTGATGCTGAGTCCCCATTTGAATTCTGTTCCTAATAAGTTAAAGGCTTTCAACTAGATTACGTACCCCCTCTGCTTCCTGGTGTACAATGTGGAGTTCATAAGCTGAGATGCAGACATGCTAACTCCTTCAAACTGTTTCTCAAAATTACGTGCATGGTGTCCAGATGTATAGGGGTAGGTCCATAGCTTTTCTGGAATCCCCTGAAAGTCATCTGAGATCCCAGAAAGACAGACTTCCTACCATCTGGGTTGATAAGAAACCAGGCAAGGGCTTCAAGAGGCCAATTCACGGCTTTTAGATAGTGGCTCTCAACAGGATGACTGTCTCCCAGGAGAAACTTGCAATTTGGAGACACTTTGATTGTCATGACTGGGTGGGTGCTACTGGCATGTGGCAGGCAAAGGCCAGGGATGCTTCTAAACGTCCTACCATGCACAGGGCAGCCCCCACAACTCAGCAGTGTCTTGCCCCAAATGTCAGTTGTGCAGAGGTCTCAGCTCTGAGCTCTGTATGTGGAGTATATCCAGAAAAAGGAATAATGAGTCCCATCCCTGCGTGTGAGTGCCCTCGCCCTCTGAAAGGGCTTGCTGCACTCCAGGCAGGCTGGCAGAAATGCCACCAGGAGTGGCTATGGCAAGAGGGACATTTTGTCAGCAAGGTGGCACCGCACTAGCGCCTCCACACTAGTTGCGCCTGAACCCACGCTACGAGCTCCTCAGTCAGGACTCAGGCAGCATCCAGGGTGACCACTCATCACCCGGGTGTGGGGACCAGGAGGCTATGTGCCTGGTCACTTGAGACACCTGGTCAGCAAAGAGAGCTGTCCCCCAGCCAGCCACATCAAGCTCTGTGTGAAAAGCCATTCCCAAACCCGGGCAGCGGGAAGCGACACACAGCAAACCTGCACTTACCTTCCGAAAGCTCTGTCACCTCCTTCCCCTCATCCTCCTCTGGGGGAAGATGAGAAGAGAGGTGGGGAAGAAGGAAAGAGGCAGGTGATAAAGACGAGAGCAAGAGCAAAAAGGAGAGAGAGAGAACGGTCAATTAACAGAGATTGTTTCTTGTGAGAGAGAATGTGCTGAGAAAAGGGAGGTGGGGAAGCCGGGATGAGGCCAGGGCAGAGGTGACTCTCCACAGAGGTGACTTATCCCCCAGGGGGAGGGATAAGGTCCACCCTGACAGGACCTCGGGCTCCAGGGCGGGGCGGCACTCGGGGCACAGTTTGGAGGCCTCACTCTCAGGAGTAGCAGGCCCTGGCCCCCACAGTTCCAAGTGTCCCTGTCACAGCCCCTGCCCCAGGGCTTTTGTGGGCTGTGTCTCAAGCAAGAGTGTGTCGGCCTGGTGACAAGCAGCTCCCGTCCCCTTCTCCCTGGTGACTCAGTGTCCCTGGCCATGCAGACACCTCCTGAGTGGGAGGTTGTGCCAGCCGTGTGTCCCCGTGGGTCACACAAGCATGCCATTACGCTCCTACCTGGCAGGATCAGTCTTCTGGTGACTAAGGAAAAGAAGCCAAGTTGGCCCCCAGAGTCCCAGCCCAGCCCTAAAACCAGCCTGCTTGGCCACTAAGGGCCCAAGGCCCCCCAACTTTCTCCTTCCCTCACAGGAGGGAGAGGAGCTGAGAAATGTGATGAGGACATGGAAGAGATGAACCCAGGGTATGAGCATGTGTGGGCATGTGTGCATGTGTGCGTGTGTATCCAGACACAGTGTCTGAACACTGGGGGACAGAAGAGCCAGGCTTCTGGGAGAGATGACCACCTCCAAGGAAACCGAGGCCAGGACCCCAACTCCCCAAGTCAGAGCATGCTGAGAGTGGCATTGACCCCTCCAAGTCAATGGGCAGGAAGGCTGCAAAGGGGCCTAGCCTCCTCACCCCCTGACCTCAGCATGGGCACAAACCCAGGCCACCCCTGGTTTCCAGGAGGGTCCAGAGAACCTACCACCCCTGGGTGTTTTCTGATTAGATCCTGAGGTTCTGCCCAGGACCACAGGAGTCCTCTGACCTCTCCCTCCTCCCTCTGGCCTCCTCCACCACCTCCCATCCAGCCAGAGTCACTCACCACCCGTGGGGTGCAACAGGATATCCGCTGGGTTGTGGGGTTTCAGGCCCAGAGCAGACAGGGGTGTCTTGGCCAGACCTGGAGGGGAGCGCACTGTGCCAGAAAGAAGAGAGGAGACACAGGGAGTGAGCGTTGGGGTGGGAGGTGTGGGGGGAGGTGGAGGGGCAGGATGGAGGGCACCCAAAAGTGAGGGCATATTGAGGAGGGGTGGGCACAGGAGAGGAAGCAGAGGAACCAGCCCCAGCCCTGGGGGTGCTGCTGTGGCGCCACTGCCTTTTCTTTTCTCCGTGTTTCTCCGCATTAGTTTAAAGGGCAAAGGGAGGCAGGATGTGGTGCTCTTGTCCTGGCCCTTCCCCTCGACCTTGACAAATTCTTCCCTTCCCCAGGCCCTTAGTGTCTCTGCCAAGGTCCCCTTACGTGCCATGGTTTACAACATACATTCAGGTTTCTTCGGCTAGCTCTGACTTTATGTTATTCTCTCTTCCTTCCTCCTCTCAGTCCCTGCCACACACACACACACACACACACACACACACACACACACACACAGAGTCTTTCGAAACCAGACACTTAGATGGACTTAGAAGAGAACCAAAGAAAAGGAAGCACCCAGATAGTACATCCTGTCAACGGCAGATGGAGGAGAAAGGATCAGCAGCAGTCCCAGGCCAACCCCGAGGCCCCAGGCCAGCCCGCAGCCAAAGATCTTTGACCCCCAGCCTCGTGTGCCCCTTGTAAACCCCAGAAAGAGAGAGCTTCTCAGTGTGGGGCTCTCTGCGCCCCCTAAACCTCAGTGTTCTAGAAAAGGGAGAAGCCCGATCTCCACAATCCTCAGCCAAGAACACAACTACCTCCCTGTGCAAATCCCAGGTCCCTCCCAAACCACCCGTCTAGGTTAGAAGTGTCACATAACACACAAGGTCAGGAAGGGCTCAGGCTTTGTCCCACCAGCCAAGGACAGGGCCAGACTCTAAGCTGATCTGCAGAGATGTTGTTATGCCCAGTCACGAGATGGCTCAGTGGCGGCTGCCACGTCTCCTAACACACCTCTGAGAAGTAAAGAAAGCTCTGTGTCTCCTATCGCAGCCATCTGTGGCCTGCAGAGGCCACAGGCCCTGAAGACACGCAGCCGCACAAACCAGTCCGAGGCTGCCTGCCCCACACCAACAGCCTCAACAGGCTAGCTGTGGCCCTCAGCTGTCCAGGACCCACACAGCAGTTCCAGGACCCTCCCCAGCCCCGCCTCCCTTTTCCAAAAGACAGTGAGGCCTATTGGAAATTAACAAAAAATACTCTCTCTCAACGCGAGTAATGTATATACCTTATTTGTGCACACGCTGGTGTGTACATAGGTGTCCGTGGGAATAGGGAGTTATCATAGGGATCGAGTGGGTGGCCCACTCCTGCACTCCAGCCTCACTCCGTCCTTAGATGCCCAACAGACCAATACAGAAGAGGGGACAACTGTGTACAAACACACACATCCAGGCATGGGGTAGGTCTAGGCCTGTGTGTCTTTGTCCCTCTCTCTCACTCTACACACATGCACAGAGGTATCTTGCCACAGATGCTTATCAAGCACTTATTAATGTTTGTCAGACAAATGAATTCGAACATAATTAATTACGAAAGAATAAGCCCAGCCTCAAAGGCCACTGTCCTTGGAATGACCATGACGTCTCTCCAGCCCCCCAAGTCCGGGAGGTTTCTCTAGGTTCCCCTCATGTACCTCCAGTTCCCTCCTTGCTCATGCTCTAGTCCCCAGGGTCTGGCCCTTTTGCTGAGGCAGACGAGTGGGTGGCCCCAAAGCCAGACAAGGCTTTTGCTTCCTGAGTGAATTCCTTACATTTCTCCGCCTCTGTCCTCTCTCTCAGTCCTGTGCATGGATGAAACCTCTGACTTACCCACCCAGCACTGGCCAAGGGGAGAGAAAGAAGAATGGAAACAGAACAAGTGGCAAAACCCAACCCTAGCTCAGCCCACATGGCTTCTGTCCAAAACAGGGTGATGGCCAAGATCCTGGCTGTTTGGACCAACAGGGAATCAGAGCAGGTGTGAAGGTAAAGGGTAAGACCAGGGAGACAGATTTCACAGTTATAAAAGGCCCCAGAGCTGTCACCTGAGCAGATTGCCAGGGCTTACACTGTCCAATATGGTGGCCACAAGCCACGGTGCCTTCAAGCACCTGCAGTGTGGCCAGTCTGAACCGAGAGATATAAGTATAATACACACACCAGCTGTCAAAGATTTGGTGTGAGCCAAGAACACAAAATATCTCAATATATCATTACATGGTGAAATGATATTATTTTAGATCATTGGGGCTAAATAAAACCTAGTATTAAAACTAGTTTCACTTTTTACATTTTTTTAAAAGATTGAAAAATAGCTCATTCATATTTTTATATTGACTTACCTATTGAAATGATATTTAGGGTTAATAAAAAAAATCACTAAATTTAATTTCTTCTGTTTCCTGTTATGCTTTTAATGTGGCTATTAAAAAATTTAAACCACAAACATAGCTGGTATTATATTGGACAGCACAGTTCTAGGGAGAGCCCTGGCTTCTAGTCACAACTTCAGCCTCTTGCGTACCCAAGATGGCAGCCAACAGGAGTTCTACTGGTGCAAGGGTCAGACACTGGTGCCACATTCCTCCGTCAGCCGGCCAGCCAGCCACCAGGAGAACGCATGGCCAGCTCCAGCTATCCCGTCCTCACCCTCCTCCCCTCTCACCTGGGCAAATGCATAGCTTGGGCCGAGCCCAGCCAACCCAACTCGGGAGCAACACCACTGTCTCCCATCCCTACCAACCTGGGCTTCTTAAGGGGACCCTGAATCCTTTGAAACCTGCTTCCATTACTGCTTTCCCACAAGGGCCTCCTCCAGCCCCTCTACATGTCTCTTCTACCACAGAAAGAAACCCTGTCCCACTTCCGTGCTCATCTGGGTCTTCTCTTTGGGTGGAAATACCTCTGCCCTTTGGGGATTTGCCTCTCCCGTGAGCACACCAGGGGTGCAGACTAAATGCTCCTGCCTGGAGGCCAAGGACAGGTGAGTTGGGGACTCAGTCAGCCCAAGCGTTCTGGGCCCGTATTTCCTTGACAGAAACTAAATGAGGGCAGAAGCAAGGTCAAGGGGTGTCTCAGAGACACACCAGCAAGTCACAAAGACCCATTTTAGGATAGGGATGTTTTGTACAAGGATGCAAAGACTCTCAGCAACTAAGAAAACTCCATCCTATGGGAGCCCCGGGGCCTCATAGTCAGTCAGCCAAATCCTAAGACTTGGGCTGCTGCTTCCTTAGATGTCTGTGAGTATGGACAACAGAAGAGAAGTGGGGGAGGGGCGGTGAAGTGAAATGAGCCATTAGGGGTGAGGAGGGGCAGACTCTGGCTTTGCCCAACTTGGCCAGCACCCCCCACCCCAAACCTGGGATATTTACACAGGCAGGGGTTGAGATAGGGGCCTGAGGGGATTCAGGGAAGAGGGGCTTATGGGGGAGCTCTTACCCCCACTGGGCAGTGGGCTGGTCGGGGAGGTTCCCTCTATCTCCTCGAAGGCCTCCTTGTAGCTGTGCAGATGGGGCTGTAGGAGAAGAACAAGGGGAGGAAAAGTAGTTACACTGGAGGACATGACTTTGAGAAGGAGGCCAGTTAACTAGCCCACGAAGCCCCTCGCCAGCCTGACCACCCACCCCTCCCCAGGTAAACACAGAGGTCAAAGGGAGATCCTGCCCATTCAATGCCCCAACAACTCCTTGTAGCCAAGAGAACAGAGAGTGGCTATTTTCAAGGCCATGGTCCAGCATGGGTGGAATTCAGGAGCACCTGCTTGGAAATATTTCAGAATTGTGCCAAACGGAAGGGTCTGGGGGTAGGGAACTCGGGTCCTGGCAGAAGGCAGGAGAGAAAAGATGTCCAAAAGCCATTCATGTCCAGAATGACTCAGCCTGGATTTTATCAGATATAGGCTGCTTGTATCAAATGCAGATTCCTGGGCCCCATCCCAGAGCTAACATGCTGGAATCTCTGGAGATAGATATGGGAATCTACAGTTTAACAAACTCCCTGATGGTTGCTATGCACACTGAAGTTTAAAACCTACAGACTGCAGGGCCGGCCGAGTGGCTCAGTTGGTTAAGAGCTCGCTCAAGAGTGTGAGCTCTGAGCAACAGCGGTTCGATTCCCAGTCCAAGCTGAGCTACTGCTGAGCTGCCAACAGGTGGCAGGATGGCTCAGCTTAAAAAAAAACACAAAAAAACAACCTACTGACTGCCTCAAACCATGGAAATGTCTCAGAAATGCAAACATTTGGCATTGAAATTAGGTCTCCAGGAAAAAAAAAACCCTATATCTAGAAAGGGCTCAAAAACACTGTCAGCCTATGTGATCTGGTTTGGAGTTTAGAAACTGTGCTCCCCTACGTCATACCCAAGATCCTTATAACACCCTACTAAAGGGCACTCTTTACGAGTCAAGAAGGGATCTCGAGTTCAGTGTTAATGAAAGATGTGGGGCGTAAAAGCTATTTAGGGAAGGAAACGGGCTCCAGATTCCACATGCCAGAGCCCTAGGGTGAGGCTACAAAGAGGAAAAATTACTGGGTTTCCTGACACGTCAGGGCCACCCAGCTGACCATCAGGTTTCTGGAGAATTCAGGTGGGCTGTGCTACCTTCTGAGGCCCCAGGATGCAGCCCAAGGACTCACCTCTTTGGGTCGCCCTCCAGGATTGAGAGCGATAGTGAGAGCTAGCTCTGGGGAGACACACTGGACGGGGGAGCGAACCCCAGGGCTCCGGGGGGATGAGGGTTCTGGAGACTGGTTCTCATACTGTCCATCACTGGCCGCCCGCCTCCGGAGAGGGGCTGGGGGCTCCGCAGGCTGCTTCTCCCGAGCCTGCACTCCTGGGAGGAATGGCAGGGCAGAGAGGGCAATGAGCGTATTGTGCGAGAAAGGATCCACCAGGCCTAATCCCCCCTAGAGAAGACAGTGCAAGCTCAGGGGCCATGCTGGAGCTGGGCCTGTCTCCCCGCTGCACCTCCCCCCAGCCTCCCTCTGCCCACACCATGAGTTTCTCTGCAGGGTGGGGGACCTGCTGAGGTTAGGCTAGCCTTCACCAGGAATCTACTCCGCATAGGGTTGGGGCCCAGAGCACAAAAGACTGATACAAGAAACAGATGTCAACTCTTTCCAAGGCCTGGAGGCAGAAGGCCAGAGCTTCCAGGCAAATGAGGGAAGGTGGAGGGCGGACAGACAGTCTCCAAGGCGACTGATCAACCAACAAGCAACATCAGGCCCACGGGGAAGAACTTTTGGAAAGAGCGAATAATGCATCATCTTGCAAATGGTGCTCCCAAGAAGACACAAAGAAATGACTAAGTCTTCTTATAAAGTCCCTGGCCCCAGCTGGCCCCTGGAATATTGCTGGTCTTCTCTGGGATTCCCCATCTTCAACCAGTGCAACCTCAGAAACCTCTTACCAACTTCCCTTATGCGGGCCCCTTCGCTACTACCCACTCTTTTTCTCACCCCAAAGATGGCCAGTTTCCCTCCCAGCAGAATAGCAGGCAAAGAGCTAGAGCCATGTGCTCCATCTGCTTTTCTGCACTGCCTCCCACCCCACAGGCCGGGGATATTGCTAGCCCCACCCGCCTTCCTTCCCTCTCCCTCTTCCCACAGCTGGGCCAAGGCACAGAACCCACGGCCTCACTGAGCTGGCTCCAGAACCCTACAAAAACTTACTCCCCAGGTCCCCCAGGCCAAGACCCAGCCTAAGGGCAGGCTCCTAGTCCTGGTTATCGCGAGCCTGGAGTTTCTCAGCCCTGCCTTCACCAGCACCAAGAGCGGGTGAAGTGAGGTGATAGGGAGGGGTGCTGGGATTTACCAAAAGTCACATGGCACTGGGACCCTGGCCAAACCAGCCTCATGCCAGCACACCTGGGAACACTGTCCCATGGCGCATGTGCATGCGTGCATATGTGCACACACACATACATACACACACACACACACACATACATGTGTGCACGCGCGCGCACACACACGAACACACTGCTGGCCCCTAGTAATGTGCCAGTGCAGCCAAGCAGAAATCACCCTCATTCAGACTGAATCATCATCTATCATCCACAGTGGGGTCTGCACCCCCCGGGCAGCCTCCTAGCTCCCGCCTGGCACAGCCACTAAGGTTGCCATGAGAAGCACATGCTGGGAAGCCTTCCTGCTTGTCACGAATAGCAGCCGCCGGCTGCCAAGTCTAGAGATGGATAGGGACACACACACACACACACACACACACACACACACACACACACACAGTGAGGCACGCACTCATGCTCTCCCATAATCAGAGGCCCTGTCTGGAGAGCAGCCGGACTGGCACGCAGTTACAAATGCAGAAGGTACCCCGGGGTGTTTCGAGTCTCCTCCACTTTGGGCTGTTTATTATTCAGAGGCAGCCTGCCTGCCATCTCAACTAAGAAAAAAGAACCCAAATGGAAACCATAATCTAGACTCACAAACTACTTAAAGCATATAAGCCCCTCATGTTATAGTGCCCTGATTTTCAGGATAGAAAAAGGGAGGTTGCATAGTTCTAACCAGGGGCCCGGTGAAAGATAGGCACGGATCTGAAAGGGTGAAACAGCCCGGGGGCTCGGCAGCAAACCCAGGCCCCCAGCCCCCCGAGAAGCAGCCTGCATCTCCCACCACACCTGTGGGCGCCCCTGCCCTGGACCATGCTTCTCCCACCCACACCGAGCCCCCTTTCCCTCAGGCCTCTTGGGCAGCTTGGTTCAGAACTATTGCTCGTTTTGTTCCTGGCAGGGACATTAGAGAGAAACAGACATAGCCATTGATTTTCTAATAATAATTGTGAAAAAAAAAAAGGCTCATTCGGGAAAGGCTTTGGGGGTTTGCAACTAAGTTCAGCCCCAAGGTGAACAGAAATGCATTAGGGCTGGTCGCAGTTCTGGCTCGCCCAGCCCTGCAACCTCTTGCTGGCAGAGCCCTGTGCCTTGGCGCGAGTGGTCAGTCTCCCTGTGTGGGATCTGATGTCTGCCCTTGAAAAGTGGGTCTGTTTCAATTTGAGGCCCTGAATCTCCCAGAGGGACAGACAACATTCTCCCCGGTGTGCCCAGAACACCCTCCATGTTCAGTGCCGCAGGTGGTTGCAACGCCCGGACGGGAGGCTGGGCTGCTGCTGGAGAGGCTTCCTAACTGTGGGGGATGGAAGCCCCTAGCACAAGGCAGCTGGACATCTGAGAACCATCTCAGCTCCTCAAGTCTCCTCTCCATTGCCACCAGATCGGCACATGGGAGCGTGTTCTGTCCAGAGGCAGGCGGATGGCCAGAATGACCTCCAAAGAGCTAGGGCGCTGCTGGAGAGCCTCCCTCTGCACAAGGGGAAAGACCCCGCATTCCACTCCCACGGGACAGCCCCGCCTCCTGCAGAGCGCCCCACAGTGCCAGTGACCAGCCAGGGCTTCTCACATTCTTTGAACACAGTGTCTCACTGTTGTCCCCCTTGGCAGGCCCAGATCTGCCCCTCAGTGCCTGGAAAGCCATGTTCCCTCTCTCTTGTCTTTCCCTACGGGAGGGGAGACAGGGCAGGGCGGAGGGGACAGAAGAGAGCCCCATTGTTCGTCAGCCAAGCTGGGACGTCTGGACACAAGCTGACAGCCAGTGTCAGAGAGAGAACACACCCCCGCCCCTCACATCCTAGAGACTGACCGATCATAAAAATAGGCCTGCTCCCCCCACCGCCCTCCTCCCCTCCACTACCCTGACCCCAGGCTGTCTCAGTCTCTAGACCCCATCCTCCCTCTCTCTCTCAGAGCCTCTCTCTCTGTGTGCTCCACTCCCTACACACACAGGCACATATACACATACACACACGTGTGCACACACAGCCTTCACCCGACAGGCATGGCAGTAGGTCAGTCACCCTCAGAACCTCTATAGTCAGCCTCTTCCCCAGCAGGAGACCGCAGGGACTCTGGGAGGTTTTGCTGGGAAGCCTCCGGCCCCGGGAGCATAAGGAGTGGGATGCCCCTATGGCAAGGAAGTGGCCTTTAGAATAATAACGCGCTATATTCAGAAGCCCTTTGTCGTCCTCTGAGGCCTGCCCACACTGTGGGCACTGGGTCTTTCCCACTGCCTGCCGGACAGTGGTCACCTCAGCCCAGGGCCTCCACACAGGCTGCCCAACATGAAGAGAAGGGCGCCATAACAGCCCCATTTCCCGGGGCGCCTCACTCCGCTCCCCAGGACAGGGCTGTGTTTCGTGGAGCGGTGGGCTCCAAGGCGTCCCTAAAGCACTGAATCCCCTTCACCTAACACACACACACACACACACACACACACACACACACACACACGCTGCAAATTCTGGGGGCTGTAACCCTAACACACATCAATGAACATACTCTGGCAGAGCATAGCCACCCACCACCCCTGGGTCCCATGGACAAATGCCCCAGCATCAGGCTCTATCACAGGCCTTCCCTACACCCCGGCCTGGCCACCTCCACCCCCACAGACCCAGCTCTTCTCTCCAGCCTTCCGATTTCCAGAAGACTGGGTTCCTCAGCTCCAGGTGGCGGGGCCGGGTGTCCAACTGCACGCCTGGGGCTCCGGAAGCGAGGCGATCCGGGAGGCCACCTGCTGGGCCAGGGCACCAGAAAGCCACACGGCGATCACACTAGCAGCCCCAGGGCAAGCCATGCCAGCTCCCCTCAGGACAGGCCCACCACTCTAGAACTGCCCCAAACCCAGGCCCAGCTGAACACTGCACTCCCCACCACTGGGCCGAGAAAAAGGAGGGAGAGGACAGGAGGTGGACAGAGCCGTTCTGCTAGAGCCATCTCCCATTGTCCATGGACTAGGAGGAGGGACCGGGAAAGCCCCGGAGATTGCCACTGGAAGTCAACTGTTCCCACCACCCCTAAGCCTTTTCCCAGAGCTGCTCAAGGTCACAGCACAGGGCGACCCTGAGCACCACCTTCTCCCTGACCTGGAGCTCTGGGCTCCGAGGAGCAGGGAAAGGATGAGGTGACACTTTTCCCAGGCTAACAGCCTATGGCCTGTATATCCCAGAGACCAGGGGTAGGTGTAGTCAGCTACGTCACCCTCAAATAGGGCAATGTGACTCTTGATGAAGAGTCCACCATGCTGGAGCACATCAAGGCACCATGCAAAATCCACATAGCAGGGCTGTGATCCCTCTATTTTTCACATTGGGAAACTGAGCTCTGGGTAATGAAGAGACTTGCCCAGAGTCACAGAGGTGGTCACCGGCAGAGCTAGGACCACACTCAGGACCTCTGACTCTTGGCCATGGGTCCTGGGATCAGAGATTTGGGATGAGGTCACGGGCGGTGCTCTGTCCCCAGGGAGTACTGTACTCAAGTGTACACAGGGCATCGGGAGCTGGGGCACCGCCCTCTGTCTTATGCCCAGTGGCCCATGCAAAGCATAGCCTGGTTCTTGCTGAGGCCCTGGCCCGGCAGCCCCGATGGTCTGGCCAAAGAGCTGGGCTGTCCCGAGCCCTCACTAAGCACTTTCATTGCAAAGGCCTATGTGTCCACGGGAAACCTGAAAGTTAGTCTAGTTACCCTAGACCCTGTTACCCGCAGGTAAGGCCAAGGCTAGACACATCAGCCTGTGTCCATGCAAAAGTGGGAGCACTCGCTCATGCAGAAGGAGGGAGAGAGGGAGGAGGGGGCAGTGGGTGAGGAGTGAGGAGATGCAGTGAGAAAAGAAATGGGGGAGGAGAAAAAGAAATACGAAAGAGATGGAAAGGAGAGAACAGAAGAGGAAGAAGAAGTGAGGAGGAAACGGGAAAATGAGGAAAGGCAGAAAGTGGTCAAAAGTTTGGAAGGAATAGCACGTGAAAAAGGACAGG